ATTACTTCCGGTTCTAAATATAAAAACTAATTGACTAATTTGAGTATATTAAAAAAAATAAATGTTACGATTCATAACTTGTGGAAATAATTTTTTTTATTTTTTTAAGTGATGGATATTTAAAAGTTAAAGGCATGAGCCCATAAAAATCATATCGATATTTAACAGATACAGAATGTAAAATAAAATAGCTTTTATAACTAACATTTTTTTTTTGAAAAAAAGTTTATTATTAAAAACTTAAAAAAACTGTTTAATTCAGATTTTGAATGGTTCAAATTTTATTATAGCAACAAACATATGATATTTATTGCTTTCTTTATGTGGGCCAATTAGATTTTAGCACATGGTTATTAGGCCTATCTCCAATACACATTGATTGTGCAATTTGATAGAAAGAAAAAGCTAGCTGCTTGATGGTATATAATTCAACACATTCATATCTTTCACTTTTAAATGCGGGCAAAACTACGATCAAGTCTAAAAAAAAATTAGTAAAAGCTTTTAATAACAATTTTAACAGTCTCTAGTGACAAATTCTAGAATAAAAATTAACAATCTGTAAGATTTATTTTGTAATTTTTTTCTTAAAATCTCATTATAATTCTCCTTTTAAATATCCACCCGTCATAGGCATGACTTAACAGACGTGAGAAATTTGTCAAAAAATTTTAATTAAAAAAATTAATTCTATCCCGTAAATATGGTGGTGCCATTTTTTTTTTTTTATAGTAGTACACCACTTTTCTCTAAGTACATGTAAAAAAGGAAGTAAGGAACACATTTAAAAAACTTGCATCCTCTGAAGACGAATTGCATATATGCGGTTAAAAAGCCTGGGATCCATTAAGCACCGTTACGCAATTAAATTTTCTAATGAAAAACTTTTGATTAATTTTCACAAAAGAATTATGCAAGCGTACCCCATATTTCATAGCACCTTCTATTCTGACTTGTACTTATTTGATGTTTATTACTACCTCCAATCTTAATTATAAAATCTTGTTTTTAAATTATAAATAAAATCTTATAATTAGAATTGAAGGTCGTACTTCACTAATGATCCTTCCTAATCTTGAGATATGCAAAGTTGGGTACCTTTATATAAACCTGCAACTTGATTGATATTCCTTCATAACATAACAATAATACTGACACTCTGAACAACAATTACAATATCAACAAGTTGTGAATTTCATAGCGTTTATTTTAATTTTTGGTATCCATTTTTAATTAATATAGGTCATTCCTAATTCGGTTTAAACATACGAACGAATTTTAGGATCAACACATAAAAGTTCCTATTGCTCAAATATTTATTTTTCCATGGTCGGGCCCTCGTATCCTTCATTTGCCCTCATGTCACCTAAATGAGTCCATCTCCATGAGGGCAGCGTGGTCGCAAAATTGCTCACACAACCCCCTCCCAAAAAAGATTATAGGACAAAGGACCTACTACTTGATAATTATGATATTATTTTATTTTTAAATAATTTAAGTTTAATTATTTTGATTTAAATTATTTAAAAAAGGGTAACCACATATGCAATTCTTTTCCCCTCGATGTGCACCAGATTGACTCATCAATATCCAGTATTATCTGAACCAAACGGTGGTTTGAACACTTTGCTGCTATACGCGAATGCAATAATGAAATACTGGCTCCACTCCCTAATATAAGTAACCAGTTAATTAATTTGAAAAAAATTAAAAAATATTTAATTATAACATATTGGTTAAATGTAATCTTAAAAAAAAAAAATACTTATATGTATTCTTAGATTGCGTATGAATTTTTAAATTTTTCTAAATTAGTTAATAGATCTTATAATTTAAAAATAACTATCAAGTTTTACAACAAGAATAACAACTTTTTTCAAGAGAATGACGAATCGACTTCATAAATTAACAACTCAATCGTAGGGGGAAAAATACGGAAAATAAATATCAAGTATACAATTTGCTTTTTTTTTTAAAAAAAAATGAATAACACGTATACCAGAAAAGATAGCAGCTTTGCTTTCCGTTATTAACAATTAGAACTTAAAAATTAACAACTAATTTTAGTAAAATAAAATTCAAATTTTGTGTGAAAAAATCTAGAAATAAATAACAAATATGACGGTGATAAAAAGAAAAACAAATATGCCATAAGAAATAACATCTTTGCTTTCAAATGTTGACAGTTACAAGTTAGAAATTAACAATTACTTTTCACAAAATTAATTCAAGATTTGAGTGATTGAATTGATAATTATTTTCCAATACTTATAGCCACTCCACAAATATTTATATTTTAGGGCAAAAAATAACCATTAACCTTTTAAATTTATTTTCCCCAGCTTTTAAGAATATGTAGTCAATCCAAAAACAATATAAAAGATGGACCTTGTAGTATTATTTTGGGTATTACAATTTAATTTGGGCCTTATAAATCTTTTGGATTACACAAGAATTATGCATTGGGCTTCAAAAATTGACCAGGCCATTACAGATTTGTTGGCTTTTGCCCATTAAATACTTCAGAACAAAGGCTTGAGTTTTTTCACAGGGAGAAAGTGTTACGACACTTGATGAGCCACTTGTATACCCTTTAATGATATAAGGAAAAATATACTCCTCTCATTTTAAATATAAAATCTTTTTTATAATATAAATTACACTATGAAATAAGTCTTATATTTAGAACCGGAATAGTAATACAGGAATAACTATAAAGTTTTAGGATAAGAATAAGTGAATAACAACTTTTTTTTTTTGGCTAAGAGAACGATCGGTGAAAAAAAAATTGAAACTAAATAACAAGTATACCTTTTCGCTTAAGAAAAGAATAATAACGAGTATATCATAAACAATAAGAGCTTTGCTTTCAATTATTAACAAAACTTAGAAATTTAAAACAAATTTTCGCAACATCAAATTCAAAACTTGTGAAACAAAACCTAGAACTAAATAACAAATATGCCAGTGTATAAAAGAAAGTGTGCCGTAAGAAATAAGGGAAAATTAATCTGTAGATCCTTATAGTTTTGTTCAATTTTGAATCAGATCTTTTTTTTTTATCAGATCCTTTAAGTTTTTACTGTTAAGTCCGTTAGTCCCTAATAGTTATATCTGTCAAATAAATATCAGCACCATTAATAACTTCCGTTAGCAATGTCTGAAACATCTCCTTCCGCCATAACACCATACCTAAGCAAGTCCTCGTCTCTCATTCGCTCATGTCACCCCAGATACATAGAGAGCCGCTTCATGTATTGTGCAAAGAATTACGTTCCAAGTGCTTTAAGTCCAGGTCGAAGGTCGCTAATGTCGTCATCATCGTCGTCCTAGTCTGTAGTTGTAGAGGCTGAACAAAAAAAGCTGCTAGAGTTTATACTCTCTAATCTGCCCCTGCAGAAGAGATTAGGGTCCTCCATGACAACTAGGTATCTTTTTGGATTATTGCAAACAACCAACATATTGGATGTTTTCAAATCGGGCAGAAATGCATTGGAGAAGATAGGACTGCAGCTTGAAGAAGCCACACGAGTTGATCTTCTCATGCTGAGCTATTCGTACCTTAAGGAAACAATCTACAAAGTAAATTGTATGGAGAGAATTTTGACCCACTTCTTGGCTGGTTTAAAAGAAAGAAACACCGTTGCAGTCAATGGTGATAACGGTGTCACCATGTCGCCGGTGTTAATGGTTGTTGGGATGCTTTTACAAACAAAGAATGATAATGAATAATATGAGTCACCTAAAACTAGTCTGCAACAAAATTCCATACGCTACAAACAACATTTTAATAAGATACGGAAAATGTCTCTATTTTTTAGTACTAAAACAGGGGAGGCCATCCTTCATTTTTCATTCATATAGCCTCCGCATCTATAGTTGTTTCAATTTCTTCCTCAATGCGACCATGCTATATATAATACATGCTCCTACTACCAATTTGGTTTTTCTTCATGTATCTGTATATATAGTAGTATATAATTCTAGAAATAAAGATGACATATATTGACTTGAAATCATATCCCGTGCTGCTTTATATGTCTACATATATTGAGCTCAAAGGTGCCTCTTTTTTTCATCATTCTCTAAGTGTATTCCTCACTCTAAGCTCTTCCAAGTTTCTAGACTATCGTTTTCTTTCATGTTATTCTGTTACATAATTGTCTGACGGGGGTTGAGTTGGATGGTGAAGGAAACGTGATCGTGAGGATGGTTGAAGAGGATCGCAGTGACTTTGTGACTGAGGCAAGGAAAGGTGTTATGGAGAGTTGGGAAGGAATGGCAAGTCATTTATAGGTTGAGAGAATGGTGGGGAAAGAGACGGTCTTAGGGATGAGCGCAGGAGAGAGTAGAGTTTGCAGGAACTTGGGTTTATGGGGGAGGGGGAGAGAGAGTGATATTTCAGAGGTGCCCAACGGGAATTATCAACGGTGTTAGTGTTTATTTAACAGACTTAACCCTCAAGGACTAACGGATGTAACTGTAAAAAAATATAAGGATCCAATAAAAAGGAAAAAAAAAAGTAGAAGGACCTGATTCAAAATGAAAGTAAACTAAAAGGACTTTCAAATTAATTTTTCCAAGAAATAACAATAATTTTGCTTTCAAATATTGACCGTTCATTACAAAGTTAGAAATTAACAATTACTTTTCACAAAATTAATTAAAGATTTGAGTCTATTATAATAAAATAATAGGAGTTAAACCTAGCGGAAGGAGGTAATTCCTCACAGCATGATAAACTAAGATTGGAAACCATATTAAGAAAATAGTGCAAAAATACATGTGAAGTTTCTAACTGCTATGATATTTTGCATAATGTTAAAAGCTTCATATGTATTTTTGTATCTAATAAAAGCTTAGAACGTCTTAACTCTTATGCTCCCCATGCAATACTTGATGAATAGATTTTCACTTTAACTCTTATTTATAGAATGACAAATAAAAAGAAGTCACATAATTGCATTCTAAAACGATACAGATCACATATGTAACTCTTGATGAAAATATAGTAATAATTGATAAATAAATAATTCAAGATAAATAAAACATTCAAATTATTGGTCGAATATTTAACGCAAACATATTGGAGCGAAAACGCCAGCGCGTAGTTTGGGAGTTCAGAGAAGTAATTTAGTGCCATTGTTGTGGCTGTGAAGGTGCTTTTCCTTTTCTTGGTGCGTCATGAAGGAAGTGACGGGAAAAGACTTGCCGATTCCCAGCGGAGTCTTAAACACTATCTTGTCCGGATTCTTCTCGTCGATGCTCATCTCGCTGATCGGAACCCACACGAACACCTGCTTGCTCTTAATCCCACTCATCTTCTTCATCTTCCCCTTCTCCACGTACGCCGTCACCTCCGCCGCGTAGCTCACCCTCGTGTTGGTCGCCTCGAACATGTGCTCGTACGGACCTTTCTGCTTCATCCACACGAAGCCTGTCTCTCGAACCCTGCCACACTCCACCAGGTCCTTCAATGGAAGCACCCCTCTCGGAAACCCAAGCTCTTCCAGAAGCTCTATGGAGTGCCGATAGCAATCGTCTGAGCCATACACGATCTCCGCTCCCGCTCGCTCCTCCGTTACAGATTTGCTGCTCGCCATTTTGGTTTAGTATTGATTACTGGTTCACGTATGCCTCTGAGATTTGAAGGCCTTATGGCTTCTGTGGTGTGAGTATATATATTATTATTATGACGAAGAAGAGAAGAGATGGAGGTAGTTGGACGGAGGTTGAGCGAATTGGACTACTTCTTATGAAGTGGTTCACCCAACTGCTCCTACGTACCACCACCTTCTCTCTGTGTTTAATTTGGAATTTTGTGAATTTGTGAGCCTTAATTAATTTCCATTACATATGTCCAAAGTCTAATGTTTGGTATGTAATGTATACCTTTTACCTATAATCTACTTGGAAGCTAATTAACGCTACAATCCAGTCAGGCGAAAACAAAAGAACAGGTGGTTAAGAGAGAAAATCACAATTTGTTTTGATTCTAATCATTAGTTCACGTTCAGTACCAAAAATTAAACAGAAGGGAAGGGAAGAGAAAGGAGAAGATTCATTGTCAATCCAAATAGATGCATCACAAAGACTGAATATGAATATTGGAGCATTAGCATAGGATTTGTTTTGGGCTTACAAGGATGATGAATATTAGAGCAGTGGCACTTCAGCGCTGGGCATGGATTGTTGTTCTTGGAACCATTTGGGTCACTATTTGAAAAAGTTGGTCCAAGTCATGTTTGGTTTGGGCTTATGGCCCAATAAGGTTGGGTCCTGGCCTGTTATTTAGTAACCATATCTTCTTATTGTTCTGGTCAGTAAGAAAATGGCTCAATAGGTCATTTTATGAAGGTTCCGTTTGGGTGACACCCCAAACCATGGTTTGGGTGATAAGTCACCCAAACACTCACTGGTTTTGGGCAAACCGTGGTTTTAGACCAAAACCATGGTTTTGGCTCCAAAACCATGGTTTTGAAAAAAGCAGAAATTTTTTGCTTTTGGAGAAAAAAGGGAAAGTGTAAGAGCTTATAGGATATGTATCTTGTTATTTTTTTTATAAACATATTTTTTTATAAACATATTTAATCTTATATTTTAAATATATATATACATATTAATTATTTATTAATTATATTATCTTATGTATTATTAATTATGTTAATAAAAAATATATTATTAACAATTTTATTCCTTCAAATTAAAATATATCATAAAATCTATTTTTTCTGTAATTATCATATTAACTTATGTCTTTTTTTTAGTAATTTGTATATATAAAAAGTGTTTCTGATAACAACTATCTAAACACTCTCACTTCTCAAAATCACTTTTTCATTCTTTCCAGAATCTATTCTTCTCAGAATCTATTCTCCAAAATCACTTTTCCAAACCACGGTTTGGTTTCATCCAAACACACCCGAAGTGTCTATTAAACGCCAGAGAATGCAGATTCAACCCTAAGTGTATGAATTTCTTGTATCAAATGAATTATTGAAAACAAAAGAAAGAAAATTAATGTCAAATGTGAGTTCAGTTAGATACTCCTCCGGTCCTAAATATAAAACCACTTTTATAGTGTAAATTATGCTACAAAATGGATCTTACATTTAGGATCGGAGGAGTATTTAGATTTGCTCTCTTTAGCCAATATTTTTTTGGGCCAACGTTTCTAGCCAGTATTAAATACAGTAAATGTGCATCAAAGGACATTTGAAGTTTCTTGAAAAAGCAAATAAAAAAATAATAAGGGGAATAAGGATAAACCGATAAGAACAAACAAGTTAAGGGAGAGATTCATGTATTAAGAATAGTAAATACCAAGAAAAAAAACAGAGAAAAATGAGGGACAATATAAAATAGAGAGTAGTTAAGAATGGCCACATGACCAGCAATATATATCTTACCCACATGCAACCCCGTGTGAATGTTTTGTGTAGGTCCGTTCCATTGGCCCCATCTCTCTCTGTTCCTCCCCCCTGGGGGCGTTTCCACTTTCCAGTGATTCATGAACCAACTCAGACTCTGAGAAAAATTTGAGTTTATTTATTTTATGCCTTTTTTTAAATACTTCATTCATTGATGAGTTCATTTATATATTTTGTCAGTAAATTATAAAAGAATAAAACAAATAAAGAAAACCTGCCACACCATAATTTTAGGACCCAAGTTCTCTAAAATTGTGCAACCACAAAAATTCCATTCCCAGTTTAACTTTTGTTACAAAATTGCAATAGGTTCGTACAGGCGAATAAATCTACATCCCCCACCCCAAGAATCACATCTCTGTGTTTGAATTAAAAAAAAATTGTATAGGAAAAATTGGGGGACAAGTGCCTGTTTTCAAAGAATAACATCTCTATGACTTCTTGTGCAATAGTTCCCATTTCCCAATTAATCTGTCAAAGGGAAATTTTTAACAAATTTTTCCTATTTTATAAACTTACTAAATAAATAAATAAATTTAAACGATTAAAGTTTAACATTTACTCGTACGTTCATAATTACAACGTATAAAAATTAGAAGCTTAATTTATAAAAATGATAACAATAATTTTATAAAATATTAAATATAAACCAGTTTTTTTTTTATCTAAGAGTTAAAATGAGAAGGATACAAGGGACAGGATTTGGTTCCAAGATGAATAAAAAGATTTTTTGCTCTTGATCTGTTATTTGTATCCTCGCTAGATGTATTTATTTTTAAAGCTCAACATATTTTAAAAACCATCATATAATTAAAAAAATTTAGTAATAGAAATTAATAAAATTTAGAGTGAAAGGATTTTTTAAATAATTTTAACGCACTAGTTTTTCATGTGGTAAATTAGAGTTTGAGTTCTCACAAAGGTATAATCACATTCAATACTAATAATATTGTCTCCATGTAATTGTCAAAAAAAAAAAACAGAGAGGATTTAGTTTTGCAGTTTAAACTAATTATCCACCCCCTAACACCCTGGTTTTCTATAATCAGAGCATAAAATTTTCGAAGAATTACAATAAGTTCCTAGAGGGAAAAAAAATTACAAAATAAGTTTCAAAAGTTTTCATTTTTCACTTTAAAACTTGTCATTATATGCTACTAGGTTGTTATTGAGATTTTTTAGTAATTATTTCTTTTTTTGGGACTTAATTATAATTCTTCCTAACATTTTTGGTGATCCGCATTCCGCAGTGCCATAGCAAATCGTACTATGCCGAAGACATAATTTGGAAGCACACAAAGCAATAATGGCATAACGAGAGAAAAAAAAACAAAATGGCAACAAAATCTTTATAAGATCTCCCAAACATTTAAAAAAAAAAAAAAGTGAAAGAGAGAGAAAATACTACACCATATATAAATGTTCCTTCTTTCTAACGCATTAACCTCTGCATTTATATAGCAAAGAAATCACAACCATTAGACACACTATTTTTTTTTATCATCAACTAACAAGTTAAAAAAATTACTATGTAGTAAAAAAAAAAAGACGATAAAAATATGCCCCAATTAAAAAAAAAAAACAACAACAACAACACACATGAAATGAAAAGTGGGGAAGTATTACTACTATATTCCCCACGTATGATACAAGATATGAGAGAAGTGTAAGACGCTAGTACTTTTCAAGGGTACCACTTTGTTATGTTGTTGAGGCAGGGGAACCGACACTGCTCAGAGATGATGAGCGTGAGGGGGTGGAGCCGCCGCCTTGGGCGGTGGTAGCCCGGAAGGCTGGCACTGGTAGCACTTGGCGAAGAGACCGAATGTGTCAATTTGCTTGACGAAATTGGTCATGCTGGCCCATCCTCCGAACCCAAAACCAACCACAAAGATCCAAACCACAACGAAGGCATTGAAGACGTACATGGCAGTCCAGCTGGGCATGAAGAAGGGAGGCTTCTCTGCAGCATTCTGCAGAAAACAAAAGCACACAAAGTTTAATGGAATGAATTATTAGGGAGGGAGACGATGAGTCAAACAGGGCCAGCCGAAAGAGAAGGCATAGTCCAATAATTGAACTGTTGCAAATAACTAAACGAAAACGACGTCCCACCAGTCTCATTTCATCAGTGAACTGAAATGACAACTATACCCTCAACTAGATCAGCCTTAGGTATATGGTTCCTAATTTCCTGTATACAGATGTATATATATACCTGTCGGGCGGAGGCTTTTCTGTACGTAAGCATATGAGCGAGGGCAGGGATGATGTAGACGGTGAAGCTGACGAGGAGGGCTCCGACGGCGGAGTTGATGGGGCCGAAGAAAGGGAAGATGATGGCTAAGAACCAAATGGGGATGACGACCGGCAACCTCGCGAGTGCTCTGAGGCAGATGCTTCTGGTGTCGTGCATGCCGATCACCTTCTCCCACACGAAGTACAATGGAGTACACGCAAACCCGAATGTTATGAACTGCAACCACAGTCAAATTATTAAACAACATGTCAGACTTCAATTTCTGCGATGAATTTAATATATATATATATAGAGAGAGAGAGGGGGGAGAGAGAGGGAGAATGTGGAATGGAGAGAACCTGGTGGATGAGCATGAGGATGACGGCGGCATCACGGAAACCGGTCTTGGGGAGGAGAGAGAAGGCGTTGGAGTGGTTGAGGAGCTGGTCGCCGAAGGCCCAGTAGACGGCGGAAGCCGACGGAAGAGTGAGCGTGAACACGTACAGTGTGGCCAGCAAATATATGTACTTGAACTTCTGTGGCTTCCACATGGCATGCATTATCTCCCTGCAAGACATGTTCTTCACTCATCATCTCCCAATTCCCATATTCACTAATTTACTCATTGTTTAATCCCAACATGCCACCAATTAATTCTTTTCTTCTTCTTCTTCTTCTATTTTATGACTATGTCTCTATCTGTATTTTTAAAAAAACTAAAAAAACACATTCAATTCCTGATGCCATGTGCATGCTAAGCAAGAACTAAATCCAATTTTATTTCATGTGATCCACTGTTTGGGTCAACTCATCAGAGATACAAAGGATAGGGCAAAATAACAAGACATGTTTTATTTACTGTCTCTAATTAACCGTAATTTCATGGCCTAGAAATATGTTGGTGAACAAAGTAAGAAGAGCTAATAAAAGAGAGATCTTAATTTGCTGCACTAAAATTATCAGAGTAGTATAAAAAAAGTCTTATATTTAGAATCGGAGAAGTAGTATTTTTCTTTTAATTATTGTCACGGACACTCGGGATAAGCTTTTAACAATATTCATCATAGCTGTCTAAACGAAGTGCTTGGAAAAAGAGGTGAATTTTTTTCACATCATTAATTGCCTATGGTAAAAAAAACCGGTATTATGTGGTAAAACAAAAAATTAATTGGACATTAAGAACTTTGAACGATAAAGCTTGAGAGAGGCAAAGAAAAAGTAAAATGCATGATGATATTGTCTGTGGGTCTGATGATCCTAGATGGCAGGCAAAAAGCTGCGAAGGGAAGCCGTGTAGAAACGAGAGGGAAAATTACGCAGTCAAAAAGGTTAACGGAATTATAAATTCGATTTAAAAAAAAAAAACTTACACAGTCACGGCGTGGCCACCAAATGTGTACAGTATATTAGTTGCTCCGGTGAAGTACAGAACCAGCTTCGCCGGACCCGAGTGAGTCACACCCTCCACCTGCAACACGTCCACCAAATCACCATCATCAGATCTTTCTTCTTCGTACAAATTGTACTGCTTAGTCTCTGTTCATCATATGAATAGTAACAAACCTGGCCATGAAGAAGCGCTGCGATTGTCAAATACCAAGCTGTGTAAGTGGTCATTCCAAGTCCTAGAAATGACCAGATTCGATAGTTGTGAAAGGAAGGGATGAACACAGTGGTCGCACAGCAAGCTCCAAATATGTATGTCCAAGTTCGTTTGTCCAATTTGTCGTTTATGTAGTAGATGTTACTGCCAGCAGCAATCCCAACAAATTTAGAAGCTTGAGATTTTGTTTTCAATTGGAAGAATTGATCAGATCGACAAATTTCTGATCGGAAATCGAAGGAAAGCCCATACCTTGCACAAGCTATAAGCTGAATCACGGATCCGAAGAGGAGGAAAGTACAGTTGAAGGCCAGCCCCACTGCTTTCCAATACGGACCCAGCAATCCATCGAGCACTTCGAACCACTGATAACTCACCCAGGAAAAAAAAAGTGTGATTTCTTGTTTTTTTTCCTTTTTCCAGACTTAATTAGGAATTGGAATCTCGGGGCAAGAAGATTTGAGTGATTTTAATTACCTGAATGACATGGTTCTTGAAGCTAACGTTTTCCTTTTCCTTTCTGGTACGGTATTCCACATAGAGGACACTGATTAGATAAGCCGTCCAGCTTCCGAGTATGCCGTAAAATACTTGCAGCAATATGCCTGAAAGCATACCCAGTTGGGAAAAGGAATAGGGAAGCGTCAAGAGCACTTGGGCTACCTGTAAACGGCAAGATTTGGTTCAATGGTTTGAGAACTGGGAGAAGAAAAATGGAGAAGAAGACTAAAGTGAGTTTTTTGGGAAATGGGTATTTTAAGTAATCAATATGTACTTGATTTGAAGCACAGCTGAACCAGGCGTCCCAAACTGAGCCGCCATGCCAGAGGAAGCTCTTGAGGGTGAACATGGAGTTGTCTTGCTCCTTCTCTTCTTCCCTGACGATGCCTCCATCATTCTCTGTTTCGGTGAAGTTGGTGACTATGGCTTCCTCTGCCTGCTTCTGAGGCAACATTGTCTCCGAAATACGCGAAAGGCAGTGTCAAAATCTCCTGGTGGATCTGAAATTTTATATACTTTGTTTATACATAAAGGACAGTAAATGAGACAAAAAACGAGATGATCAAACGCAACCCCAGAAAACGAAAGCCTATATAAGACGAACCCAGATCCAGATAACTGCAAATTCCTCCCCCCACAAGCTTAAAAAGTAAACTCAAATCCTCTTATTCCCTCACATACAAATACAAAAGAAAGTGGGGAAGAGAGAACAGAATTAAAAAGTGGGATGTATACAGAGTTTTTTCAACAGCAAGCAGGAAAATCCAAACACAATACACTAATCGCTTTCCACTAACCTTGGTCGAGACGTCTCTTTCTCCTAAAGCTTGAAGAAGGAAAACCCAGATCTGTGTTCCAAAACAGAATGGCCTTTACTTTCAATAATGCGTTCTTTTTATCTGCCTCTTCCTTGAGTTAGTTAAGTGCTCTGACACAGTTGTGGCAGAAGCAGCAGGAGTGATGCTTCAGAATTTCACCATTCAATAAAATATTTTCAGATTCACAGAGCTTCGCAATAAAAACCACCGTTTTAATGCTCCACTAATTGGCGTCGCAGAGAAAAGAGAAGTACCGCAAGCCCAAAGACGGCGAGGAGACGAAAAAGCAGGAAGTATCAGAAATTGCAGAGACTGAACAGAAAGGACCTCCTTTCCCTCGAAACTGTTCAGCCAGATATTACGAGGACGACATGGGGCTGTGTATTTAAGTTGCTAAATATGTAATAAATGTATATCAGAGTATGGCTAAAAGCAAAAGCAGAGAAGGATGCAGTTAGCCAAGCAAATTCACTTCTCTATAAATGGAGGAAGAGAGAGAATGAGAGATGAATAATGAATACACAATTGAGTTCACTGTGTATTCCAAATTCCGAATCGATTCTCGGGGGTCTCCGTTTGTTGGTGACACAGAGTTTCGGATGGAGACCGAAGCGAGTGGGTGAGCGAGACGTTGATCTGATCAGTAGTAACAAGTGAAACGAGCGGAAGGCCTCCCCTTTATAAGCCCAAAAAAGTCGCTTCAACGGCTAAGATTCTCCCTTTCCAGTTTCCACTGTTATTCTAATTATCATATTAATGTAATTAATGAAGGTTTCATAGTTAAAAACCTAATTCCCTGTTTATAACTCTATTAATGCATGTACTTGAGACAGAGCGCAGGGTAATTTTCTGGTAAAAAAAAATGCTGAAAAATCTCCTATTAAAAAATTTTCCATCAGAATAACCTATTTCTCTTGTTCTATTTATAAGATAAAGAGAAAATACATTTTTGGTTCTATTTATAGGATATTGAAAGAAATTTTTTGTATGGATGTACAATTTCACCCTTCATTTATTATTGTGCTGACTTTATTTATATAAGGTATAATGTATATTAAATAGGGATAAAGTTAAAAAGTTGTTAAATTTTAAATGAGAGTTAATGAAATTTAAGGTTTTTCTTAGTATGTATAAAATATGTTGGAAGTGACTTATAAGTAAGGCCAGAGGAGTACATTAGAATATGATTTGGTACCACTTAGTTGTTATTTATAATTCATTTGTTAGGAAAAAAATTTTTGTTCCTATTGACTTAATAAGTATATAGAGAGATAAAATAAATAGATGAGAGAAAATATAAAATATTTTTTAATACTCTTTCTTTCATAAAGATAAATAAAATTATATATTTTCTTATGAGATAGATCAATATTGTTAATGTTTAAATAAAGATATGGATCCAATGAGAATTTGCAATCTAGGACTAGCACAAAAGTTCAGAAGAATCTGGATGAAAAGGCCACATTTCACAAAGCTTTGTTTGTTGCTTATGGATTTTATTTATACACCTGACATTTTTGGTTTGGATTAATACTAAAATTGAGCCAAATATTAGAAACATGACAAGATGATGTTATGCAATCTATTGTGTGTGGCTTGTGAGACAGCCAAAACAGTTAATTGGGCATTTGACCATCATTGTTTGGCTTCAAAGTTAAGTTAATTTCTGGGGTTTTTTTTTAATTGTATTAAGTAATATTAAAATACAGTTGACGTTTCTTTAATTTCTACACAAGATAAGAAAGTCAGAAGCTGTTTCCTTGTGGTCCAATTCTATGATATGATTGTTTACACTTGAGATTAGCACTAATACACAAGGGCTCAGATCCAAATCCCAGTTCAGGGTCATGGATTGAAATTCCCAATTAATTCTTTTCGTTAATGTAACGAAATTAGTTTTTTTAATTAATGTTTTGTGGCTAATTAATTTGGGATAATTATACAGCTTTAAAGTTGTTTCAAGCTGGATCAGCCTCCCTGATGTCCCCTTGATTAATCAAAACTCTTTCGGCCAGCCCTTAATTAATCAATTTTAATTGGATGCTACGCTATTCGAAACTCGGCGCACGGTACGTGCAGCCCACTCGCCAACTCAGAGAACGATAATTGGATGAGTTGGCGGCGAGTGTGAACACGTTCGCGTGTTTGAGAGAAAAACGATGCCTTCGAGGCAGAAGATGGAATTTTTGGGAACTTAATAATATTATTGAGCCGCCAAGCCATGTAAACGAAGTTTGCTTTTAAGCCTTTATAAAGCAAAGTTTAGTTTCGGCGCCGAGCGCATTGCGTGACCTTTTTTCACGATATTTGGCTCAAGCCGAGCCGCCTTGGTCCCGCCACTTCCCCACGCTTCCAAAGGAGCAAACACGCGCACGCCCATTAATTAAACTATTAAACCCCCTTTTTCTTCTCTAAATCTCTCAGAAAATATATGCAAATTCAACTTCTAAAAGAAGATAAATTTTTCGTAAGGTTTATGATAATTTTCTATTTTTTCAACTGATATTTATATGATTTTTAAAAATGTCAAAAGCGTTCTTTATGTTCAATAAAATATATAAAAATAGAATAGGAAGGGAGTAGTGTTATTTTGGAAAGGAATGAGTATAATAATATTTGTATCATGAACAAAATTCAATGAATTACCAAAATATGAGATGTCTAATTTGAACCGCATCATGAGAGATGACTGTATAGATATAAGCTTTGGTATATGAGAATAATAATAAGATTCAAAATGTTGTGAAAGAACGGTTGAAGAAGAAGAGTAGAGGAGTAGAAGAAATATTGCTATGGAAATGGAGGGGACAAAGAAGGAAAATGGGAATAGTGGGCATCCCACAAAGAGAAAGCCAGAGAAGCAAAAATATATGAATAATAATGGGTTGAGAGGATCCATGTTTGGAGCAAAAAAAGTGTTCTTTGAAGTTTGAACATCCCCAGCCCCAAGTTGCCCCCTTCATTTAGGGATTTGTCCCC